TATTTTTTGGCTATTCCTTCAATTTCTATTGATTCGGGAATCTGATTCACTGTATAGTCTAATTTTATGAATTTCGTATTGAAAAAAATGAAAATATAATATATACATACTTACATTCATGTAAATATTGAACTTTTTCATTAGTTAGTCTTTTTTCTAGATTTGTAATCTCTAAATAAACTCAGAATCTAACTATTATTATCAGAAAATTTTATAACAGAATATAAATCAATTACAAATCTACTAAATACTCTATAGAATCCAGATTCTATGTTGATTGTTATCATCACTTCTTTTGTGGAGGGTGTGAGCGTGGGGTGTGAGCGCTGGGTGTGGGTGTATGTGATTAAAGACAAAAGGAACACCCACACCCACCCACACTCACACTCACACTCACACTCACACCCTAGCGACAAGCTCTCAAACAAAAAAAAGTATATATATATATAATGAAAGTCCATAGGAAATTTTTGGAAATTAGATGAGCTATTTTTTGATCCTTGTTTGATTCATATCTGTGTCCAACGTCAGGATATCGAGCTGAAAATTTTACCATAGTCTCCTCATTTTCGTCTATTTGGACGTTTCTGGGCTGAGATCGGTTTTCGAGGGTGGAGAGAGGGTGGCCTTAATAAAAAATATCAAGTAAGACAAAGATGAAATAAGATAAAAATCGGATTTGTCTCGTGTTAAAGACACATTGTTTTCGCAGCGTCAAAATTTGATTGCTCAGAATTTTGTTGATTTTTTAACACAGAAAATGCAATTGTAAGTTTAATTGTCCTATGGACATCGTAAACGAAATGATTGACTACACCAAAGTATAAGACTTAAAAGTCTGAAACTTTGGATATAATCCTAAATATGTCTAAGCATTATAACAAAATACTTGAATTCAAACTGCGACTTTTCTAAGAGTCGGACGAAAAAACTTTTGTAGTGCCCCACATATCATCCATTTCATTATAGTTACACTCATTTTTCATAGTTTATTTTGAGAAACTATGTTGTTTTTAGGCAGTAATATATTATTCTAGGTCAAAAAGAAGACAACACAAAAAACAGAATATATACAGAAATGTGTATATACAAAAAAAAAAGTCAATCAACAACAAATCATGAATAATAAAAACGATCAATTCGTTTTAATACGTTTAATATCATTCGTCATTTGTTCACATGTCTTTCTCTTCTTCTTCTTCTTCTTACCGAGCCATATTGATAAAGTGTAAAGGTCTGTACTATATGTTGCATCTCTTCTTGTCGAGAGCCATTTAATAATTTTGTTTGGCCAATGTTGTTTTCGACTTATGAATCGAAATGTCACGCTTAATAAATGATCAAGTCGATTGAGTATGATTTTCATATCATCCATAATTGAGATATCAATTTCCAAATATTTGATATGATTTGGAATTAAAGAACAGAAATTTTCCATATTACTACCACAAGTTTTATCAAGCCATTTATCTTTGAAAACGAGTGAACGAACATTATATGCTTGTTGAAGTAGAATAACGAAATGTATTGGCGTATTCGGATAAAAATCTTCAGCTAATTCATCAACTAATGTGAGTTTTTCAAGATGTGATAGATCGATAAATGACGAAAGATGTTGAACGAAATCAACTGGCCATGGATTATCAATTCGAATATTGAGATTCGATGCATTTCGAAATTGACATGTTTGTAGTTGAACCTATTTATTAAAAATAAATTTTGTTAATAACA